CACTCACCCAAGGCATATCGATTGAATCGGCAAAATATGCCATCCATGCTAGCATGGGGAAAAGAAAGTATGGAGCTTACGATTGTTTGTGAAAGTTAGGTATGCTTGGTATGTGTACGTATGTATAAACCGAACATGCCAACATGTACGCACACAACTCATGAGTAACTCTTCGTGTGCGTCTGCAAACGTGCCTGTGCATGACTTCATACATTTGTCTACATGTAAATGTGTGTATACTGTGTCTGTATAATACACACGTGTGGATGTATCAACCATGTCTAGGTATTTACATAGATACATGAACATGTGTGTCTCTATACACATAACATACATACACTTTCATTTACATGTGTCCTATGCGTAGATACATGCAGGACATACACCTATACAGATTGTGTGCGAAATCCATGAGTGCCCGATGTATGTTGCTCATTGACCCATGGCCCATGCCCCACCTCATGGGACATGAGCTTCCTCTTCGTGGCGGCCTCTTCCTCAGAATCGGCTCTTTGCTCGGGAGCCAAAACATGCTCGGAGAAAAAAAAACGGGGGGGGGGGGTGGAAGAAAAAGAAGAAAAAAAACAACGCGCTCGAACCGGTCGAAAAGGCCGCAAACGCCGGGACAACGGTAATGCCAATTCCATGTATTCAAGAACAGAGCTGAGGCCTCTGCAGAAAGCTCCACTTCCTGCACGCAAGCACACTGCTTTGGCCCCATGGAGTAAGCTCATGTCTCATGTTGGCTCTGACAAACCCGACCGCTTTGGCCGAGAACTCATGGGCAATCATGCTTTTACACGCAAAGCTCTGTGAAGCTCGCTGAGTGATGAGGCTGTTCAGACGGATCAACAAAAAGGCGCGTGATGCATTCGGCTCAAGTAGTCGCATTGGCAACAGACTACAGCCTTTTCTCTCCCAGCCTCGTCCTCTCCTTTCCCAGCATCTCCGCCTGCGAACAAATGTCTCGTGCAAGAAGCAGCATGGTGTCAGCAGCTCAACTCTAGAATCATGCGACACACACATGGAAGGACCACCGTCCTTGGCCTTGCGGGTTGGGCATGTCCTGCTGATTTTGCAGGCCCTAGGCCCTAAAGCTGAGGCCCCCTGCCAACTGCCACCCAGGCTGGAAATGCATTCACGTCGGTGTCGTCCAACCTTGCCGCGCATCATGAGTTCAAGCATATCCAGCCTGAAGAATTGCCCTAAACCCTAAGTCAAGAATAATTAAAGGGGGAGGGAGGCTGGACCATGTGTAAAGGTAAGTTGTGTTCAGACTGGCTTGCAGAAACACAAAATATCCACATCTGAGGGTACAAACATGACAGGTACGCTCAAATGCAAACTCTCCAGGCAGCTCTTCACCGAAGGCATCATCCTGGCAGTCATCTCAAGCACGAGAGGCAGCTGCATCGGGGAGGAGGATTTGGTGAAGTGCATGGAACTTGTGGTGATTCTTGAGACTTTCATTTGGCCATGGGTCAAAATCCCGTACCCCCAGTGAACATCCCAATCCCCACTAAAATAGGTTTTAAAATGGGTGGTGCACCTACCCCAAAATGGGATCCCATTGGTTTTGACAACCACATGCTCAATGTTGGACATCGCGATGGGATGCGCCTCTTCCGCCTTCAGTGCGGAGTCGTCCTCAGCTGCATGAAAAAAAATGTCTGCAAGCTTCTGAAGCCGAGGCCAGGGCTGGAATCAGCTTGATGTCGGACCCAGCGTCGCTCCACACCAGAATGCCGTCCTTGCCACAAAAAAGTCGAAGCTGTCATGAAAACATGTCGTCTAAAATGGCTGTCCATGTGACAGGGAGAGCTCTCGACTCTTGCGAACAATACCAAATTTCGCTTCTTGGGATAGAGTCGGATGGAGCATACAGCTCTCAAACCAATGGCGAACACACTTCCGACGCCCACATCAACCCCCTACCCCTGAGTCGCTGAGTGTGCCGGCTGCACCGCCAGTGCTCATAGCCACTGTGCCTGCAATGCGAATAGCTCACTTTGGATGCAATGCGCCCAAAAGGATCCCCAGCGTGTAGCAGCTACGGCAGGGATTGTTTGTGACAGACAGGTGGCCATGGGTCAAAATCCCGTACCCCCAGTGAACATCCGAATGCCCACTAAAATAGGTTCTAAAATGGGTGGTGCACCGAAAACCCCAAAATGGGATCCCATTGGTGTTGACCCACAGCCAGGTTTTCTCCGGTCGCTGCAAGAACTTCCTCCTTTCGATTGAGGCCGGGGCCATCACGGCTGCACACCACCTGCGCAGGACGCGCAAAGTTCATGGATTTTATGCAAAACCTTTGCCCTGGAAGCAGCGTTGTTGCCACGCAGGACTCGGATCAACGAACAATGCCACAAAAAAGAAGAAGAAGAAGAAAAAGCGATTGATGCCACATACCATGATGTGCTTGCTGTCTAATGTTCTGCGTTGCTTCTGGTTTTTCGTGGAACCCTGCAAGGCATCATTCGCAGCGTTCAACTTGTGGCGGAGGCGAGTCACATCAAAAGCCCATGGTGGCCTCTGTGTAACATCAAGGGCACGAAGGCATGTAAAAAAAAAGAAGAAAAAAAAAAGAGAAAAGCAGCGAGCTTCAGTTGCTTGCTTAACTGGCCCTTGTCTTCAAGTCCGTGCCGCTTCGTTCCGGCCTGCGCCGTTCCGCCATTGTAAGGGCTATGGAGGGTCTTGCACAGCTGCTGATCGCCCTGCCGGAGCACTGCCATGGACACTCCCCCCCCCTCAAACGGACTGGGCAAGCATGTTGAGGGGCATTGGCATGCCTCACTTTGGCTTGGATTCTTCCGTGTGCTTAATATTTTTTATTGGTTAGTCACTCCGTCCCAAGCTCATAGTGGACTTACGACTTACCTCCAATCCTCTGTGGCCTATCTTGGGCCAAGGCCGTAGGAAGACCTTGGCACGATGGGCTGTGGCATTTCGACACGCAAGACGTGAAGTTGTTGGTTCTTAGTACCTTTTGGTAACGTAGATGTTGACGGCGACGAAACCACCCACCCACAATGACTGTAGACAGACTGTCAGACTGGATGCACAAAAATGCTTAAAGCATGCACAGGATGTTTGGGCAATGGAAACCGGCGTGGCTTAAATCATTTCAGGCTGGGACACCAAGCGCTGCGGTTGGATGTGCCTCTGGTGAGGGTATCTCTGGGGTTTGGGAGCAAGGGGCCCGGGGCGAGGTGGTTCGAAGTGTTTGGATCACGGAAATTCAGCGACTCAGCTGAGGCGGGAGCCGAACTTCAGAACTGCTCCATCCTGACCAAGGCATGCGGGATGATTGCCAGCGAGGGTGCCAATGATATGCCTGTGTGTTTTGCTTCTGGGCGTTAGCTCGATCTGCCCAGGCACATGCACAATCTATTGCACGGTCCATTGAGCATCTATATAAACTTTCAGCTAGTCCGTCGATGATTCAGAGTCGTGGACATGATGTGCCATCCTCAAGACCATCTCCTCCTTTGTGCCAGTCTGGTGGCTGTAGAGTTCTTGGTGTTTGCTCTTCACCTCCTCGAAATCTGCGTCCATCAGCTTCTCCAAATCTTGGCCCTCCGGGGTATCCCGGGTCATGGCCCTCTTGTACACTTGGCCCAAGGGGCAAAAGTAGATGGCGATGAACTTCACCGCGATGGCCGAGAAGGCCAGTAGGGCCATGCCATTGGTGAAGTTGTCCAGGAGATCCGCGGTGGAATAGTTCGCAAAGGTCCCGGAAGCCGCGATCTCCATGCGGAAGCCGTGCTCGTGCCGATACTCTCGCTGACCGTTCGCCTTGGTATCAACGCTCCAAATGGAGAAGTACTGCCTTGAATCCCCTTCTGCCTGTAAGTCGAGCACGTAGTAGGGCTTGATCAAGCCTTTGCCCGGTTGATACGAGTGAACTCGCAGAGAGAGCAGCACGGAAAGCCCGCTGTCACGCAAGTTCCGCGTGATGTTCTTCTTCCAATCCTTGCCTTCCATACTGTCCAAGGATTTCCCCATGGAGCGCAGCAGTGTGGATACCTTGAAAACGTCATTCCCATTCACCTGCGTGTCTGCCAGGACGTAGCAAGGCGCGGCATTTGTAGGCTGGCCCTCTGGGTGTGCCCAAGCGCCATCCGGTTGTAGGGCCTTTTCCTGGCAGAGTTCCTGCTGTTCTCGAGTAGACTCCGCACCCAGTCTCCCCACAAAGAGCCGGCCCTGAATCTCATCCCCTGGCAGAACCAAGTTCCGGCCGGTGGGCTTCTTGTTCACTTGATAAATTGTGGGCTCGATCAAAAGGCTGTAGTTCTCCACATTTGCGACGTATTCTCTCATTGTAATGATGTTATCTTTCGTGAGAAAGTCAGTAGATGTCACTATTGTTATGGAAGAGTCACCCTGATGCAGTACCTCTTCCGCATGGTAGTCGCGGCAACTGCAAGCCTTCACATGGGTTGAGCATATGTCTGAACAGTAGGGCAAGCTAGAATGTGCCACGGGCACCTCTGGCATCTCGAGTGCAGTCATTATGCTGACTCCGATAGCAGGTTTGTGTAAATAGCCACATTGATACCAGATCTGATATCCCAAGATGTACAGCACAATGAGCAGCATTAGCAAGTAGTTCATGGCTCCAAGCCGCCAATCTTTGATCACCGCTTGAAGAGGCACATTGTATGTCAAAAGCTCGTTCATGGACATGCCAAACAACCGGCATCCACCACGCCCCATTGTCGCTGTGAATGGAGGCGAATTATTGGCAATGAATCTTCAAAATACCGGGACTTGAGCCTAAGAAGCACAATGCGTTCCGAAGTTCCCAAGCAGGTCTTGTACTGCACTGCCCCAGCGTCCAAAGATTGAAGGTGAAATCGAGTTTGTGGACAGTTGTCGGCCTCCATTTTAGATCTTTTAGCTTGTAGCATGTGCCAACTCAGCTAACCCAAACCTCTCCACCCCCCTCTCCAAGCAACTTCCCAAAATAAGTGGAGGAAGCTCATCACAGAGAGCTGAGCAGCTCACCATGCATCCCACCAGCAGTGTCGTGGCGCTGAGGTTCATCCTCCGGATGCAAACAAGAAACTCCAGGCGCTCGCAATGGCAAACCTGAGAACGAAATGAGTCACAAGTCTAGGGATTCATTCCCCATTCTTTTCAACCATCGTTCTTTTCAAAAACCAGCTGCTTCCCCTGGTGTTCTGATGGTTTTCTGGAAAGAAGGATCCCTGGAATGAATGGGGAAGTGTCCCCTAGAACAATCAAAACCGATCGGTACTAAAATGGTGAACCCAGAACCATGCTTCAAGAATTAGAAAGGCGGATCTCCGCAACTATTTTTCCGGCTGGGACTGCCCTAATCTTCATCTAGCTGGGTTTTGATTGTGGCTCAAATGTAATTGCCTGCTTCCTTGAGATCTGGAAAGGTTGCCGGCACAGCCAAAGAAAGTGGACTATATCCACAGAAACACAAGATCTACAAGGTTCCAACCAAATGCAATTCTCTGCTTCAGGCTTCCGAAGGATAAGTTGTGTGAGAAACGGTTCTTTGCACGTCACGTAGAAAAGTTCCAACCCCAGAACCAGGAGACGCAATGCAATTCCTAGCGGGCACCAGGGTATGGGCTGCAAGCTGGTGATGAGGTGGTGCGTATCAGGCTCCAGAAGACCTCAGCGCGTCCACTGTTTGACAAGTGTTTCTTTCGACCCCAATCGAGTTGCTCTAATGAGGCTTCACGCTTTTTAGAAAGACTGGTGTGAAGAACTCTTCAGGCACCCGGCATCTGCATGCAATGCGCTTGGTGCAAAAACAAAGACATTTCTTGTGGTCATGAGTAAGCCAGTCGCGAGCATCTAAGCTGAATCTTGCCTCGAGCCAAGGCACTTTTCACAGGGTTCGCGGCGTTGGGCTTCACCATGAGGCCAACATGAGTCGGCCTCAAGACGCACGAGCTGCGCAGGTCCGTGAGACGAGTCAACGAGGCCTGGAGATGTCCCTTCAACCAGAAAGGGACGTTGTGAGCGGTGGGCTTTGCACAAACCTGCGTTTTCAGGGTTTCAGGCAAAACAGAAAAACTCGAGAAATACAGACTCTCCGGAGAGTTTTACGTTTGTCCGGGCAACAATCCACACCAGCAGACCCACTTGCGAGCATTTGCTGAGTTCCCGTGCGTGGAGTAGATTCGGACCTCGGCGACGGTGAAAGCGACCAAAGAATCATGCTCAGAACGTGGTGGGTCCCCTAAATTCAGCATTCCTAGGCATCCTAGGCCTTGGGGTAGGATTGTCTGGACGTCTTTTTCTAGTTGGCAAGGAGAGCTCTGCTCCCTCGACACTTGCACCCGTAAGGCAAGTAAAGGCCAAGCGGAAGCTCAACTTTCAGCTTCGGGCTGCGCCGCTCGCGAATCCCACCACCGCTTGATTCCTGGCATTGGCCCGGGCTGCCTTTCGAAGTTTCCACGGTCCATTGGCCTCACAAGATCCCTCCCACCCAGTTCACCCTGACCGAACCCCCTTGACCTGACACTCAAAACCCGGTCTAAAAATGAAGACCCTTTCTCTCAGACTTGCCAATTGGGGACCGCACACCTTTATGGCAAGGGGATTGGATTCCCTGACCCTCCAACTAACTCCGAATTGTCGATTCTGCGACTCGCAACTTTCCGCCAGTAACACCGGGAGATGGAGCAAATCGCCGTGGGTCTGCCCTCCATGGTGTCCGAGCTCAGCTTCACGGTCCAGAAGCCTGTGGCCTGCAAGCTGCAAGCGGAGTCGGAGACTCGGAGACTCGGAGCAGCTGCCCAGCGATGATCTTAGGGCTCGCGCGCCCAAGAAACCGCCCACTTTTCTAAGGCTTGGTTCCAGCCATTCTTTCTAAAACCATGGCTCTTCTCTAAAACCGGCCGTTTCCCTGGGTTGACGGAGGTTTTCTAGAAAGAAGGATCCCTGGAAAGAATGGGGAAGGTAGCACTAGAACTTTCTATCCAACGAAATCGGATCTGATGACACAAGAGATGACAGGATATGAGTCGGCCTCAAAGAACTACTTGTCTGGGGGTGTATTCGTTCCAACGTTAGGACGCGCCGTATCGCTTGACAGGTAATTTTCTCAGGTTTTCGGGTATCGACTTTTGGACGTCCCATGTGGTGTTTCGAGAACAACCGAACAACAATGAAAAAAATAAATGTGCATAAGACACTTCAACATACCGCAAATGACGGTCATTTTGCAGCCTCAAAAAAAGTCCCAGGGTCCGATTGGCCTTAAAGGAGCAGGGTACGGGTCGGTATTCCACGAACACTTCCCAACTCCAATTTTTCGGGGGGGGGGGGGGGATTGAGGGTGCAAACAAATGGATCTCGTACCGGACCTCGCACACGTCCGTATTGGACATGTGCACCAAGGTTTTCTTGCCTGAGGGACCTGTCACAAAGCGGGACAGCAGCTTCAAAATGCCCCTCAGCCAGTCGGCCTGTAACGCCTGGCTGAGGTCTAAGCTGACCTCTTCTCGTCGCCAGTCCAGCATCAGTGTGCCTCCCTTCAAGGAAAGGCATTGGCTGTTCCCCGCCCGTCTCAAACCGGTAGAGGTTCGAAGTCGAGTGGTACAGTATTCAGCTGCTGGGACGCTTTGTTCCTCCTTTCAGGCGAATGGGTCCGGACTGGTCATGTCTGCATCCTACGACTGGCACAATTCATGGAGTTTTCTTGCTGGTGCTAGTAGGAAATGCGGGGATTCCCTTCAAGGAAACCAAGGGATGGTTTATAAGGGTCATTATTTCATTCCCTGAGCAGCCCAAGGTTTCCAGGCTCCCCACCTCTCTTGGAATGGTCAACTCTCGCGGCTCATAGCCTTCGGTTGGCCTGGCCGGGCATTAGATGCTTGGCGGCTTCCAGGATGCATCCCGGACTTCTTTCCACAAGCACTTTAAACCGACGGCAACAAACAAAATGGGTTGAAGACCCAGGCTGATGTGATTGTCAGTCTCCTAGCAGTGCTGGCCAATTGACCTTGGTAGCGATGATTTGGACTCAACATGTGCTAGGGCGTCTCCTTGTTGTATTGCCTTGCCCCAAACACTTTGCAGCCCAAGACTGGTGCCCTCCAGGAATATCAAACTATCCCCACGGCACCCCATTCAACTCGCTTTTCGTAGCATGCCATTGCCAATGCATCAAGCGAGGCAGGTCTCACGATCTGATAGACCACATGCATGCCACCTTAGATGCCAGGATGCAACGCCTGCTTCCCACATCTCACGTCGCAAGCTTTGCCACTTGTTGGCCATGGGTCAAAATCCAAATAGTCCCAGTGAACATCCCAATCCAACCACTAAAATAGGTAAAATGGGTGGTGAATTCACCGAACACCAACCAAAATGGGATCCCAACACGGTTTTGACAACCACAATAGGTACCCCAAATGGAACCCTGGCAAATGGACACATGAATCCCAAAACGGTTTTGGGATCCTAAACGGCTTTGACCACCACAGCCACTTCTTGGCCCTTCGCCCCAAATGCGAGCGCGCCACATCTGCCGTCTGGCTGCCCACCGCCAAGAGCTTCGCCGGCATGTTCAGATCTTCCGCCTTCTCCTTGGCACTCCCATGACGCGCTGCTCACACTATGGGGGGAGAAAAAAAACGATGAGGAGGAAAAAAAAACGGAAAAGAGGAAGAAAAACAAAAAGAAAAGAAAAACGCCTGGCACGGTGAGCGATGTCCCATGGCACAGCTCAATGGATCGCCATCAACACAAGGCACGCCTGCTCGTGGAAGCAAATGTCTTCCACCAGGCCAATGTTCTCCACGAGCCCCAGCATTCGGACCTCAAAGCTTCGGGACTTCGTCTGTGGCTCGCTGAAGATACGAATGGCTCGGCTGGAAATGGCTGTGGCTCAAAAAACCAGTACCAACATGGAACCTTGGTAAGTGGAAACATGGACCAAAACCCACGTAACCCCTCCGGTTTAATTTTGAGCCACAGCCAAATACGAAAGGCAACAGATCATGTTGCAGAAAGTGGCTTGCTCTTCCGGCAAACGGATCGTCAGGGTGTTTCTCAACATAGGGGTCACCTGAAATGGTTGGTGTGCGTCTGGAGTCCGTTTAAATGGGGGTTCTGGGGTCTATCGTTTTTAGAAACTTCCAAATGAGTGTCACGCAATCAGATGCTCGAGAGGCTGGGGCACCAGCTTTTGGCTCCCTCAATGAGAAGGACGCCATTGCTATCCTGCAGTCAGGATTTCGCCACTTGCTGGTTCGATAGGCAGGTTGGATACGACCCCTATATAACCACACCCTATGGTGTCCTTTAAGGGAATCCCCAGGTTCATTCCCACCACATTGGGTCATTCCCTACTGAGCACCAGCAAGATTAATGCCCTGATAGACCAATGTGAAAGTAGAATCGCATGATTACCTTTAGGTGCTTCAAGCAACGGGATGACCAAACCAACGTGTGGAAATTGTGCCAACTGTAAATCTGGGAGGTTGCAAAATCAAGGCCATTCCTGGGGCATCGTCCCTTCCAGGACTCTGCAAGGGCAAATGCAGGCATTCAGGGCGAATCTCACTCATTTCACGGTCTGCAGATTGACCTCTCTCTCTCACACACGGTGTGTCATGTTTGAGGGCTTGTGGTTTCGAATGACACTAAAAGGTTTCCATCCACCCTCCTTTTTACCCCTCTGGTGATTTTAAAGGGAAACCAAAAGGAAAACCACCCTCCTTTGTGCCCCTCTGTTGGCGGGTTGAAAGGGCAACCAGAAACGGAAAACCCGGGGGGCCCAGCGGGC